AACCATTGTATGTTAAACATGGTGAGACAAAATTAATACAGAACATAAGTCACTTTTAAAAGCAAGTTACTCCTTTATTTTAAATGGAACACCAAGTATATCATTCCGGTATTCAATGGGGAATTTATATATCTTCAAAATATTATTAAGGTTGCCTACCCCTCAGACAAAGATTTTCCTAGATATTTTAATTTTTATGATTTTACGTCAGTAGATCTTTATTATTTGAAAAAATCTAAGGTGGCTGTGATATACCTTTTGTTAATTTAACAAAAAATAAAGATTGTAGAGTAAAATACTCAATGGTAATAAAAAGATACACGTTTAAAACATATTTTAATTATTACAGAATTAAAACTGGATATAAACCTATAATTATGTGACAAAATTATCTAGATGAAATCAAATGCTCAAAATGCTTCCGTTCCTGTTAACTGCATAAAATGATTGTTTTTTCAACAGGCTCTTTTTATTTTAAAAGGCATTATGTGGAGTTATACCTCGAAAAGCAGCTGTAATAATTTTTCTCATGTTGTCGACAATAGTTGATCGAGTTTTGTAAACACTGTCTTTAACATATCCCCATAAAAAACAGACTAGATAAAATCAGGACCATTTAAGTATTCTATTAATTGGTGAATGCACACTGCATTCACTAACTAATAGAATCATATTAATTCTTTCTGATGTAGGATAAGTTTGCATTTTCGGCAAATTTCTGAGAATTTTTTTGTTTTAACTGACGCAAAATGATAACTAGTTCTTAAAGTTGGACACCACCCTGTACAGAATGGTAATTTTGAGCATCGTTTAATTTTATTTATTAAATATCAAAAACGTACAGTTTGACTATTTCAAAATACTGTTAATCAGAAATTAACAAACGAAGATGGAACGTGACAAGACCTTATAAAGGTACATTTTACTTTTTAAATTTATAAAAATATGTAGAACTTATTTCCATCGATTTCAAAAGTATTTGATTAAATATTGAATACCTTCTGACAAATATTTTTTTGGAAGAAAACTACGTTGATACCTTTATAGGCGTTTAATTATGAAACTTTATTACGAGCTTGTAAATTATTTCTTTCTCACTCGGTATAGTGTAATACAACAACATAATTCTAATTTTATGCACCGATCCATCGGAAGTATAATTTATTATAAACTCGAGTGCTCTGTGTCGATTAAAAATGTTCATTCAGGAGATGGATTTACATTAATAAATTTCGGCCAATTCAATATTGACAGCCGCTATTATTTTAACTACTTAATTAATCTATATACAGTACGTCCCCGGATTGTCTTTACAATAGGAAAAAACAATTTTATTAACTTTTCGAAAATTTTTTTATGCATTTGCCTAAATGCATTTTACCAAAAGGAATATATAAAATGCCTTCAGTGGCTGGGACAAAAAAATTGTAGCAGGGGATCTCGATGACACTGTTCTTTTGTAAATTTATTATACAGGGTCCGGCAATAGTGAGTCGGACATGTGTAGCTTCTATAATAAAAAAGTTAGGAATTTTGTTTAAGTGCAAACCGTTTTTTATTTTAAGACGTCTGACTCTTTGATATATCTTTTACTATGCTCTCTGGAACAGCATGCGGCTCGTCTGGCTGCCGATACCTGTTGCGTTCACTACTGCGAATCAGAAGAAGATCCTATATTTGTTATAAATTTAGTCCTATAAATTCTAGTATTCAATATAAATCGAACATGTCTCCATAGCGCAGTGCGTAGAGTTTCCGCCCACGAACCGATGATTCAGAGTTCGAATCCGGGCCAGGACAAAGACTTTTTTATTTTATTTTTGTTTATATTCTGATAGGAAAGTATTAAATAATTCTGGTGATTAAAAAAAACAAATATTTAATACTTTACTATCAGAATATAAACGAAAATAAAATAAAAAAGTATTTGACGACCCGGATTCGAACCCTGAATCATCGGTTCGTGGTGGGAAACTCGCACTGCGCTATGGATACATGTTCGATTTATCAGTAGGGAACGCAACGGTTACCGGCAGCCAGACTGGCCGCATGCTATTCTAGAGAGCATAGTAAAAGTTATATCAAAGAGCCAGACGTCTTAAAATACTTATTTTTCCGACGTTGCTACCTCTCGTACTATAAACTATGTATTAGGATGTATTTCAGGAAAAAAAAATTAACTTCTACAGGGCTCAAAAAAGTGTGAGTGGGGCGGGATGATATTTCTTAAATGAAACACCTTGTGTATTATTGCATTTATTATTACATAATTCTAAGATATTATTAAATATATTTTGACAGTTTCATAGATGTTAACAAATATACATATATGAGAAACTACATTAATTTTGTCAGCCTTTTTAAACAAATTATTAAAAATACAAGAAATGTCCTGAAATCAAAACTATATTAGGTACTGTTGTTGGTCTGTACTTACTTTGCTACAAATATCGTAATCTTAAACCATACAGGGTGTTCAAAATTTTATGCCAAACTTTCTAAAATATAAAATAGTTTTTCTTCGTTTTTTTTAATAGAACACCTTGTATATTATTTCTATGTTAGATGGAGAATGAAACATAATATAGAATAATAATAAAACCGCGAATATTTGCGAAACCGCTAAAATTTTTAAAATACTTTAAATACAAAAAAATGTTTATTGTTTAATCCTCCATCTAACAAAAAATAATAATATAAAGGGTGTTCTATTTATTATAAAAAACAAAGATAAGCAATTTTTTAATTTACAAAGTTTGGGCATAGAATTTTGAATACTCCGTAAGCTTTAAGATTACGATATTGTTAGCAAATTAAGTACAGACCAGCTGCAGTAAATACCTAATATAGTTTTAATTTCGGGACATTTATTGTATTTTTAATTTTTTTTTAGAAAAGACTGAAAAACATACTTTTTTATTTATTTACGAATACCTTTGAATCTATCAAAATATATTTAATAATATCATAGAATTATGTAAAGTGGTCAAAAAGGAAGCCAAAAATTAAATTATATACAGGGTGTTTGTTCTATTTAAAAAAATCGTCCCAATCCACTCACACTTTTTTGAGCCACCCTGTAGAAGTTAAATATTTTCTTAAAATTCATCTTAATATATACTTTAAGTCTGCACATAAACAAGATTCCTAACTTTTGTATTATAAGAGCTACAGATGCCCGACACATTATTGCCGGACCCTGTATGTGACATTAATGATAAAATAAATGAGTTAAATAAATTATTAGAGTTGTTAGATGACTGTCTATTTTCATTTTATTTTTTTATTTTTATTCTTGGCTTTTGGTCGTTAGGGTTGCAAAGATGTTACTGGATTTTGTTCATTATTTTATTTTTATTGCGACGCGACGTTTCGACAGTTTATGTCTTTTTCAAGTCCCTTGAACGTAGATTCCTACAGAATTAAAATTGTTAAAAACTGGACAAAGTACAATAACACATATTAAAACTATTATTTTAATTGTTTAGGGACATCACACTTTAATACACAGCACGTATTTTCTCGCAGACCATTTTGTATAAAACATATTCATCGTTTCAATAGCCGATGTCTACTCAACTACTTTTCATTTTATATTATTACTCAAAATCTCAATTGTATTTTATGGTGGTTACCTATAAAAGGTAGATGAAATTATGATCTTAATTCCCGTTAATAATGTCGCAAGGGAGTCATGACTCTATTTATGGTTAGCGTAATCAAGACGATATAAGCTTATACAATATGATCGAGAAAAAAACGGCGTCAGCGATGGCTCTGAAATGAAAATCGCTGTTATTTTATATGTAAATTTATATGGGGAATGTTATCGATCGTTATTTCGAAGCCATACAACTGGACGCCGTTTTTTTATCATACGGTATTAAGCTTCATTCAAACCCTCGCAATTGGAATAAATTAGTGGTTTTATTTAGCGTATAAGGTTGTTCCTTTAATTTCAATGTAAGCATTCAGAATTATACTTCAAAATTTGCGAGAAATGTTATTTTGGCCTTTAATTATCTTCCGTCAAGAGCAATTGTGGTTAAAAATCAAAAGTTGATTGTTTTATAATCTAAATATTAGGCTTCGTCTATGGATACAACTGACTAACGCAAGCTGTTGCTAGGATATTGTATTAATTTTAATTGTATTTTTTAGACATTGTGAATAATCGTAAACTAAAAAGTATAAAGTGTAATTGAAACCACTAATTTATTCCACTAATTGCGAGGTTCTAAATGAAGCTTTTAGTTCAATAAGAAATAAAATAATTGAGAAGTTCATATTATTGAAAAGTCAGTCCAACAAAAAATCTTATAAGTTTCATAGAACAGAAATAAGTTAAGAAACATTTAAAAAAAAGAAAGACAGTTTATAATAAACGAGGAGAGGATATTATTGAACAGTTACTTATAAAAGTTATGTAAAACTGTAAGAAGTTGACTTAAGTCCAGTGAAAACCGATACAACATTAAAAAAAGAGTAGGAGATTCAAAGCCCGAAACAATCGAGTCGAGAATATCCTCTACCCAAGCTTGGAAAGGTGCGGCTCCGAAAATCTGGAGACCCCCAAACTAAAACTATCCGATCTGTTTGTTTTCCGAAGATCGCCGGACCGCTTGCCATACCTTATAAGCGATTCTCGGCCAGAAATAACCCGGATACCACTGCCAGAGACCCGCAGCTATTTCCAGTTTTCGTTTATAAATACCAGTGACGTTTTTAGACATGGACCCCACCTCCCGCGCGCTTCATACATGGACATATTAAGTCATCTATGAGGCACTCGTCTCTATTTTTGGAAACTTTCTATCGATGCTGGCGCCCCCTGGTGGCGAATTTTGTATTTTTTTCGACAGGGATTTGGGTAGGAAAACACATTCAGATACTAATATATAACTCAAAAAAGTTTTTTATTTAAAAAAAATGAAACATATAATAATAATAATATATACTTAATAACACATTTGGGGTGGTAAAAAATTCAGAGAGAAAAATCAAAAGGCAGGTGTGTTTTATTATATAGATAGGTTTTTATTGACCTGCCTAAGTAATAAAATAATTAAGTTACATTAAATATTAACAAATAAAACTGTAAAATATAATATAAGATGTTAAATAAGATATATACAAGGTGTTCTTGTAAAAGTAAAATAAAAAGTCTGTCTGGCAGTATAACCACGGTCGCATTTTCTCGGTACTGCTTGTTGGAATGCAGCGTCGCACAACATATGTCGATGATGATTGTATAGGTAATGGTAAATAAAATGCAGCAGCTGGAAGGCGCTTAGAAGCACTTGCGGTGGACGATGCCAGGGCCGGATTCGTCGTATTCCTGTTTGGAGATCCACATCTGTTGGAAGGTGGAGAGGGAGGCCAAGATGGATCCTCCGATCCATACGGAGTATTTCCTTTCTGGGGGAGCGATGATCTTGATCTTGATGGTTGAGGGAGCGAGGGCGGTGATTTCCTTTTGCATCCTGTCGGCGATACCGGGGTACATGGTGGTACCACCGGAGAGGACGGTGTTGGCGTACAAGTCCTTACGGATGTCAACGTCGCACTTCATGATGGAGTTGTAGACGGTTTCGTGGATACCGCAAGATTCCATACCCAAGAAGGAAGGTTGGAAGAGGGCTTCAGGGCAACGGAATCTTTCGTTACCGATGGTGATGACCTGTCCATCAGGCAATTCGTAGCTCTTTTCGAGGGAGGTTGAGGCAGCGGCGGTGGCCATTTCCTGTTCGAAGTCCAGGGCGACATAGCAGAGTTTTTCCTTGATGTCACGTACGATTTCCCTTTCAGCGGTGGTGGTGAATGAGTAACCTCTTTCGGTCAAGATCTTCATGAGGTAGTCGGTCAAGTCGCGACCAGCCAAGTCCAAACGGAGGATGGCGTGGGGCAAGGCGTAACCTTCGTAGATGGGTACGGTGTGGGTGACACCATCTCCGGAGTCCAAGACGATACCAGTGGTACGACCGGAAGCGTACAGGGAGAGTACAGCCTGGATGGCGACATACATAGCGGGGGTGTTGAAGGTTTCAAACATGATCTGGGTCATCTTTTCTCTGTTGGCCTTGGGGTTAAGGGGAGCTTCAGTAAGAAGGACTGGGTGTTCTTCTGGGGCGACACGGAGTTCGTTGTAGAAGGTGTGGTGCCAGATCTTTTCCATGTCATCCCAGTTGGTGATGATACCGTGTTCGATGGGGTATTTCAAAGTGAGGATACCTCTTTTGCTCTGGGCTTCGTCGCCGACGTAGGAGTCCTTTTGACCCATACCGACCATCACTCCCTGATGCCTGGGGCGACCGACGATTGAGGGAAAGACGGCGCGGGGAGCGTCGTCTCCGGCGAAACCGGCCTTGCACATACCGGAACCGTTGTCAACGACAAGAGCCGCAACATCGTCGTCACACATGTTGTCTGATGTGGTCGTACACTACTGCTCACTAGACAGAAATTAGGTACAGCTGAAAAGCTTGAATGCGACTGAGGCAGTGAAGCGCTCGCGGACGGTTTTATAGTTGGGGGGCGCAGCGGCGCCGGGCCCACGCGTCGCGACGGCGGACCGCTCGCGTGCCGAAAATGGCCATGCGGCCTAAACGCGGCCTGGCTTACCCTTTACGTTCGATCTGCATACCGATATACCTAAAAAATACCTGTAGGTGCAGTGAAATACAGAGGTTTTCGGTATAATATTATATCTATTCTTTTCATAATTATTCTAAAAAATAGTAAAATATTAATTAATATTTTTTGTAATTATTTTACATTTATTTTATTAATTTACATTTTTCATACTAGTTAGCTGTTTTAATCTAAGTATTTTTTAAAAAATATTTAATTTTTTTTAAATATAAAATTTATTTAAATTAGTAATAATTTATTTTAATAAACATACATACATATAAAAACTTACATATTATAACAAATTATAGCAAGAACATTAATTTCTTTAAATTCTTTCTCTACAACATTTTAACATTTTTTCTATACCTATATAAGACTTCTTGTAGTAATAGCAGCAAAGTTGCATTTATATATTCGTATTTTTGTTTATGAAAATATTTTTAAATAATAAAATAATTGAAAAAATTATATGAAATGCAATAGACAATTAGTGTATTAAAAATGGACACTTTTTTATAAAATAACCTTCCAATTCTAATTTCTTATTTTCAAATTTTTTCAACCCCCAATTTTTCCGACCGATCTCTCCGCCTATGATTGAGCGTTAACTATCCAATATGAAATCAATTGTACCGTTGATATATTATTTAATATTCGAATTATATTTAAAAAGCGGAAATTGACGATTTATTTTACGATGTACACTTAAGTTTTTAGGTGATAATTAAAAGATTCTATTGTAAATATCGATATTATGTAGCCTAGTATTTTGTATCATACTAGGCAAGATACTTTGACGTAAAATGAAGAGCATTTTTTGTTAAAAACATCTTTCCAATTACCGTTTTGTCTTAGTCTTAAGTCTGTCTTAGTGCATCACCCTGATTATTTGTAGAATGGGATTTTTCTTGTCTTTGTGATCTGGGTAGAATTCAAAAGAAAACTAGCTTGTGGCTTGTTACCCGTAAAACAAATTTGCCTAAGCGACAACAAAATAACGTTTCATGAGGTATATCTTTTTCAGTTTTCAGAAGCAATAAAAATATATACAAGGAGATTCTTAAATAAGTACAAATATTTTTAGGGATAGTATATTTCGACCGTCTACGAGGTTTTTTCGCCAAAAAAAAATTTGAAATTTTTAAAAAAAATTTTTTAAATTTTTAGTTAAAAACCATAATTTATTGATAATATGGCAACATAGGTAGTAGATTAAATTTACAAGAAAGAAAATCCGGAAAAGATCCAGTGGTTCTCAAAATTTAAGGACAAAATCAGTTTTTTTAATTTTCAAATTAAAACGGTAGAGAGAAAATATTTTTTGAGTTTCTTTTATCGAGATTTACCACCCTGAATATATTTGCACTTATTTAAGACTCACCCTGTATAACTAGTTAGAGAACAGCAACCCTTTGAAGTTCTGGAATATTGACATTACATTAAAGCAAACTTTACATTAACGATTACTATCTGCAAACAATAATTACCTAGATGTAAGATGTAAGTAAATTTTTGGTTTTACTTAAAAAAACTGAACAGTATAATTTATTTATATTTGACTCGATTAATTAGTTCTTGTATTATAATTTTTACCTTGTTAAACTCAAACTGTGACCCGTGTCTCATGAATGTTGATAAATCTTGAATTAATCAAAAATCTCCTTTTTTTAGGTATTCTTTATTGTATAATTTTCAGCGGTGAAAATATCCACACTTTTTTTCAAGAAATGAACCCATCACTAAGGTACAGATATTATTTACAGTAAGATTATTGTAAATCTTAGAATCTCAGGCTTGAAAGTAATTTTTTGACAGTTTTTTATGTTTCACTTGACACATTTGATAGTAATTTGAATATTTGTGGATTTGCTGGACTTTTTTTGTTTTTTTTTTGTAGTTTTTCTTGTTTATTTTAAAATTGGTTTTGTGTGAAGTGTACAAATTTGGAAAGATATTGTGCCAGGAATTTATCTGTCAGGAATAGTCTGTGCAGCGCTTTTTCTCATTTCCAGTTTAAAAACATGTTAAATAGAATCTTATTTTTTTTGATTATACGAATTTCTTTACAAGCAAATGATTCCAAACACATTTCCTATAGTCCGTCTAACGAGAAAATATATGACACTGACAATTATGTCAGGCTATGTTGACTGAAAAGAAAATTGTTTTTTTCTCTGTCAACTTTTTCATGGCATACTGCTATTAGAAAAAATATATGACATACTGCTATTAGAAAAAAGGTAATAAAATAAAACAGTGAAAAATATCAATTTATTTTAAGGCAGGAAAGAACACACCGTTCAACCATGATACAAAGAAAACAAATATTGCGCAGGTTGGTCACTACGTCATAGGTGATATCGGCATCATTGGTCGGCACGCTCATGATTTGACATAACTTTTGAGGTTTTGTCCTAATTCTGCCCTATTATAGGTCTTTTTTTATTGATGGCAATTAAACAATACGGCTTTTTTGTATGGCGTAGTGACGTCACAGGTGATATGCGCAACCTAGACGAAATTGGAGCTGCTATCGATCGTACCGTGTTTTCTTTGTATCATGCCGTTCAACCAGAATATTTCTAAAATGGTGGAAAAATTCATCAAAGCAGAGACAGGTCAAAAAGTCGTCTGTGTAGTAGAATATTCACTAAAATTCACAGCAGACTATTAAGCAAAGACGGAAAGACTGTCAAAGCTGTAGTGGGTCGATTAAAAGGTATAAAAGTAAGCTTAAAAAGCTATATCTAAAGATGATGAGATTGAATTTTGTCAATTTGAAGGAGAAACGACAGAAAATGGTTTATGTCAGTACGCCAGCTTGGCAAATGTGCGTGTCTTTGTACTAGGCATAATAGACTATCAACAAAAAGCTATATCAAGGGTTGAGTCTCTAGTTGCTAGTCTTTTTGAAAAGGATAGGAGAGAAGAATATAATCTAGAGATCAGAAGAGTATATATCACAATAGTTCTGGAAACAAAACCTCAAAAATTTTAATCTAACAATTTAGTACTGAGAAAAAAGTTTTTTCCATAGCAACTGTTAAAATTGCCTTATATCTATCAAAAATAGTAGATAAAATAGTACTTTAACCGCAAGGGTAGATCAAATGCAAAAAAGCAGTGCAAAGAAATTTCAGATCTTCTGGGTTTAAAATTTTTGACTTTTTCGGTTTGTAATCACTACATGACTGCTTCAAGAAAGCTATGAGCTTGCTATATCTACAAAGTTTAGCTGTTACTATACTACTACGAAAATTTAAACGGTATAGCTTATCCTTAACCCTGAAATATCAATGTTTTCATTGACCAGTATTGTACTTTTTAGCATTGAATAGTACGACCATAAACTGGGCGGCTGCATTTTCTTTGATTTTTCAGAAAAATATGCTAAAAGTATGTTTTCACTTGATCTTTCTTTTCGCACGTTTTTTAATTGCTTCCATTTTTGAAAATTTTTGTATTCCTTTTCATAAGTTTTTCGGGATTTAAATGGAAGTAGTTTGGATATGACGTTTGTCGCCTCAGCCTAAATATCTGTTGGTAATTTACTTATTTCGTTTTGACCCATTTCTGGGTCCAATTCAATCAGCAATCGACACGAAAGAGAATTAAATAATATTGTCTCAAAACTGACAACTATAGAGACAGCTTTATTTATTTGTCAAATTACATAGAAACTAACGCCAACCTAGCACAATATTTTTTCTACTCGCAATAAATTCATTGAAATAATAATTTCTGAATATTTTTTAAAACGTAACTCGCTATGGAAAAAAAATATTTTTTTAAACACGACGATAAAATTGCATTATCGTCTCCCGAAATTAATTCCATTTTATCGTCTTGTATAAAAAATAACTATTATTTTATTGGGGTATTTCAACCCCCTGTTGTTTTTAGGGGTGCCAATCAACTCCGCCTATGGTCGGGCGACTGCCTGTGCCGCCCAAAATAGAGCGTACCGTCCATGTATGGCTCGGGCCGATGGGGCGACGCAGTCGCAACTCTCTCGTCCAAAATAAGACATAGGCGGCGTCGTCGCGGCGTCGGTGGGAGGCCAAAGAGAGCGAGAGCGTCGCGACGCCCCATTTTGCCAGTGGACGCGGCCGCCGCCAAAAATAGTACCGCAACAGTTTCAATATGCTCTTTTTCCCTTTCTTACTTTATTCTGACTCGAAGGACCGTTTTTCGATGCCTAGCTCGCTTTATTTTAGTATATTTGTCTACCAAATACACTTAAATCTTGACTTTTTTTTTAATTAAAAGTGCTCACGTAAGTAAAAACTTTGTAATCAGAAAATTAGAGTTTTATTTTTCATTGCTTTTTTCCGTCTTTATTTTTTTCCCAGTTGTAGTCTTAAAAATATATAAATAAAACTTTTCATCTTCTTTCACATATCTTAATAAATAATATACTAATTATATACTAATAAAGTTCCTTAATAAAGTATCACCGCCAGTTCCAAAAGTCTTTAACTCGAAGGAGAGTTTTTCGATGCCTATATCTATATCTAGTTTTATTTTAATATATTTTTCTACTAAATTCACTTAAATCTTGTCCAGAATACATACATTTTTTAACTAAAAGTGCTCACGTCAGTAAAAACTTTGTAACAGAAAATTAGTGAGTTTGTTGTCCATTGTTTTTATTCCTTTATCATTTTTTCCGATGTATAGTCTTTAAATTAAGATTTTTTTATATTTTTTGCATATCTCAATAAATATAGTATACAATCGAAAAAAACTGCGTCAATTTTGGCTTGGAAATCAAAATCGCTTTCATTCTATATATAAAATATACAGGGTGAGTTTTAAATAAGTAAATAATTTCAGGGCTGGGTAGATCTCGATAAAAGAAACATATTTTCTCTTTAC